ATTGATTCATTGACCCGGCACTTGAGCACCATGATTCTTCCTGTCCCGCCATGTCAACACTCCGGTGCGCAACACATAGGACCATAGGAGCTTCCGGACAAGTGGAGCGTGCGGCGAGAACGTCCAGTGACACCGCCATGGAAACAAGAATGTTGAGGACTCCATCAGGGCAGAAGGACTGGGGGAAGAGGCGATACTGGAGGCACGCGCCGAGAGATGTACTGATTCTGCAACCAGTAGCAGCAGCAGCAGCTGCAGAACGAGTAGTGAGTCATGCTCACAAGTTTGACACCCCCACCCAACCCGCAGGATTGCAACCCAGACTTTACTCAAACCTCAACAACAAGGACCAGTGGAAGTTTTCCGACTTCCAGCATGGCTACAGTGTTCCTGACGACTCGTGAAGTTGCTCTAACTTCCCAGCTACGGATAACCCGCTTCGCGCCAAACTACTGACGACGATTGGTGATTGGGGGGTGCGGATGACGGCAAGATGATCGGTGTCCTTTTACTCCTAAGGTTTAAGGCGAGGGCAAAAAGCACGCTGTAGTAGTGGGTACCAAAGCCAAGTCTTATCATCAACACGGGGATATAAAAGAGGGACCGCGAACGTATTATTTCATTCCAACAACAATACTGAAACTAGTCACCATCATCATCATCATCATCGTCATCATCATCATCATCATACCTGAACCTATACACCCTAAGCCCTAATTACACCCTAAACCCCCAACTCTCAACCCGAAACCCTCATCAGGGCCTTGGCTTCGTCCCTTCGAGACCCTAAACCCTAAATCCTAAACCCTAAGTCTTGGCACCGCACGCAGGATCACAGCCGAGTGCTGTCCGCCAGCCGCGATGGCCCTTGCGACCCCCGGGAGGTTGGGAACCTCGGCCGATGAAGTGTGACGTTGGCATTTTGGGATTTGGGGTTTAGGGTTTGGGGCTTAGGGTTTGGGGTTTAGGGTTTTGGGATTGGGAGTGTTAGGTTTATGAAGTGTGAATTTGGGTAGTTCTCTAATTTAGGGTCCCTTTTGGGGTCCTTGTATTTAAGGGTGCCCTACATTGGGGACCCAAAAAAGGACCCTAATTTAGAGAACTGCCCATTCGGGGTTTTGGGATTTGGGGTGTTAGGTTTAGGGTTTCGGGGCTCAGTGGTTGCCCACGCTGTAAATCTATCCGGTCGCTCGTCATCATAGGCCGAGCCTTATGGATGCCAGAAGCTTTAAATGAGCTGTACTCGCCCTACGGATCCGAAACCTTCGCACCCCTGACACTTTGACACCCTTCGTAAATTTTAATCCTACCCCTACACCCAAACTGAAAACTTGATAACCAAAAACTACAACATCAAAACCATTAAGCCCTAAACCTTGTGAACCCTAAACTTTGTAAACCCCAAACCCTCTCAACCCCAAACCCTCTAAACCCCAAACCCTATAAACCCAAAACCATATCAACTCATCAACCCCAAACCTTATAAGAAATAAATCCTGCCACCGCCCGGGCCCCTGGCAATCACAGGCGCCAGGACCGTGGGCTCCTGGTCGTAGGCCGGCCCCAACCTCTGCTCTGGTCTGAGGTAAGTTAAGGGTTTAGGGGTTTAGGGTTTATTTGGGCTTAGGGCTTATAAGGATTTAGGGTTTATAAGGGTTTAGGGTTTAGAAGGGTTTAGGGTTTAGGGTTTACAAGGGTTTAGGGTGTAGGGTTTATAGGGGTTTAGGGTTTAGAAGGGTTTAGGGTTTATAAGGGTTTTGGGTTTAGGGTTCAGCAGCTCCGGATCCAGCAGTTTTGCAATAAATTTACACTCACAGTCTAGACATAACACCCACCCACCCTTGCAATCCCATTACATTGGAAAATAAAAAGTCCGTTACTTCACAACCACTAGTTTCATTCACGCGCCGCTGTGCCGATAATTCGTGGTTCAAAGCCGTTCTGCCGATAATTCGTGGTTCTAGGCCCTTCTGCCGATAAATCGTGGTTCAAGGCCATGAACCACAAATTGTCGGCCATGAACCACGAAATATCGGCTATGAGCCGAGAATTATCGGCTATGAACCACGAAGGCCATTAAAGCTTAATTTACTATATGATAGAAGGGTTTAGGGTTTAGGGTTCTATAGAGTCTAGAAGGGTTTTAAAAAGGTTGTATTAATAACTAGAATAAGGTTCCTTTGAGGGGATCTATAAGGGTTGCTAAACGGGGTCTATGATAAGGGAGGGCCTTGATCTTTAGAACAGGGTTTGCATGGCGGTATGTTATTGCAATGATGAGTCCCAAGACAGTATAGGCTAGGTAATCTTTAGTAAGTCCTCTGTTTGGCCTTGTAAAACTCTTTACAGGTTTAAAGAGTGTTGTGAAAGGTGTGTCTGTGGAATATACAAGGGGTTCTAGGAGGGTTTATAAAGCTTCTGTACGGGTGATGTACGGCTTGTGAAGTAAACTTAGCTGTCTGTTTGGCGGCTTTCTCCAGATGATACCGGGTCCAATAGCTCCCAAGCCTCAAACCACCAAACTTAATACTACAGCCGACAACCCCGCCACCCCACTCGCTAAATGCCAAGCTCGAGACCCCGCACAACTAAACCCTAAACCCTAACCCTAAATCCTACACCCTACACCCTAAACCCTAAACCCTAAACCCCAAACCCTAAACCTCGTAGTTCTACGGCTGGGCCAGGCTCCAGGCCCCAGCCGCCCTCGGCCGTTGCAGCCCCAGCCTCTGGGCGTCTTGCTCTATAGTAGAAGCCCAAAAATTGGAAACCCAATAGTCTCAATCCTTGAGAGTAATGTATAAGGAAGCCCAGCACTATTTGTCCTTCATCCGGCTACCAACTTTTTGGGGCTTACTGTAGTGCTCTTGTGAACTGTTATACCATGACTCCGTACTATGACATTCAAGTAGAATGCCCATACTGCTTCATTATGGTAAATGAATCTTTTGAGAGTTTTGCAGTAGAAGCACCGTCAAATCTTGATACTTCTTTTAAAGACCCTCCTTCAAACAGGCAGGAGGACCCTGGGTTTAGGGATTAGGGTTCATTAGATTCTAAGATCTGCCTCTCTGCCAGCCTCTCTTGCGACGTGTCGAACCGAGCGCATGGCAAAAGACGTCGCCCCCAATCGACAAAGCCATGGAACTTTGAGCCTCGGGGGTTGACTGCAGGAGAGAACAAATCGTGAGAAGGCGTGGGGGGATCTTCATGAGGGTCTCCTGGCCCTTGCAGGACAGAGCTTACTTTAAATTAATGAATTATGTTATATTTGGGGCTCTTTATGGGGATCGCTCGCTTTCTGAAACTCCCGCTTGGCCGCAGACTCCAGCGGCGATGCCCCTTACAGGCATGCTGCGCAAGTGGTTGCCAACAACCTGAAGTTGAGAAGCAAGCAAAGACCCTGAACCCTAAACCCTAAACCCCTAAACCCTAAACCCTGAACCCTAAACCGGAAGCCACACAGGTACCTGGCTCTGAGTCAGGCAAAACACTGAGGGAGGGACTCTTTCAGCTTGCTCCTGCACACTCTTCAGGGCCCGTCGGCTGCAGCACGGCTGCTACAAGGGGAATCAATGATTAGTATATAAAAAGGTTAGGGATACGTTATACTAGAATATACTGATAACGTACTGCCATAAACAACTATAACAGGAGAAGGAACCCTATTGCAAAGTATTCAGGCCCCTATAGGCCCTATACAGCAGCAGCCCCAAAGTTGGAAACCCAATACCCTCAATCCTTAAGACTAACAATGTAGACAGGATCCCAGCGCTAATTGTCACTAATCCGGTTCCAACTTTTTCGGGGCTTACTATAACAAAACCCTAACCCCTAAACCCTGTAAATTTAAGGTAGATTCCATAATTAAAGCTTACTTATATACTTATATATATATATGTATATATTTATTTATTTATTTACTAATATATATATATATTATTTAGTTATTTACTTATATATATATATAATGCTTATTTATTCATTTCAGGATGGACAGGACCAGTCCTGTGAGTCGCATCGACCGGACCCAAGGGCCCCGTGCAAGTTGCAGCCGAAGGAGTACACCTGTTGGGAGCTAGGGGTTTAGGTTTTAGGATTTAGAGTTGGGAGTTTAGGAGGGGGTTTAAGTTTTTTTTTTTGAGCCTTTTTTCCGTCTCGCTAGGAGTCAGAGAGGGGTTTAAGGTTTAGGATGGTTTAGGGGTTTAGGGTTTAGAGTTGGGAGTTAGGGTTTTAGGGGTTAGGGTTTTGGGGTTTTGGGTTTAGGGGTTTAGGGATTCGGGTTTAGGGTTTTGGGTTTAGGGTTTAGGGATTAGGGGTTTAGGGTTTAGGGTTTAGGAGTTTAGGGGTTTAGTGGTTTGGGGGTTTGGGGGTTGGGGTTTAGGGTTTAGGGTTTAGGGTTTTGAGTTGGGAGTTAGGGTTTAGGAGGGTTTAGGATGGTTTAGGGTTTAGGGTTTAGGGTTTAAGGTTTCGGGTTTAGGGTTTGGGTTTAGGGCGTTTAGGGTTTGGGGTTTAGGGTGGGGATATAGACCCTCTCATTAAGGTCCCCTGTAAGAGAGCCATAAGTAGGGTTCAGAAGGGCCCCCATGAAGGGCTCTCCCTACTACTACCTAGGACCCGTCACCGCCGGGTTAGTGCTTTTAGAGGGCTTACGGTACCCTTGAGCCACCAAAACCTGTATTTTCTGTAAGGGCCCCCTATAAATTCTACATTAGGGTTTATATAAGGAGAACCTACAAAACATAGGTTCTGGCAGTTCAATGTTTGGGCGTCAGTGGACGGGCAGAGGCTGCTTCTCCAGAAGTGGGGAGTTTCACTCACAAGCAGACCCGGCCTCACCGTGAGCTGTAAGCACCAGGGAGTGGTGCTCCCCGCAGGCAACCTGCTTAAGATTTGACAACACTGAGACCTTAAACTGTAATGCTAGCTGCCACTGGTAGCAACCAGTAGGTGCGGTCGCTGGCCCACAACATCACCGCAGTGTTCGTGAAACGAGCACATCACGCAACGATATGATATGATATCATGTAAGATCTGGTACCAGTACTGATCAAGATGCCCGACTCGACGCAGGCGGCCTGCTTCACCAGCACGCCACCCAAGTGCACCACGCCAGGACGCACCCGCGAGCCTCAATGGCAACAGGGTGGTGCAGGGGTGCAGGAGACATCAGAGTGATGCAAATTGATGCAACAAAAACATGGTACTGCTTGTGGTCCGGAGCGTTCCGGACTTCGATTGCAACTAGCTGCATGGGAGAGCAGGCATCCAACTTGACAACAGTCCCCACAAGAGGAAAGGTGTAAGTGTCCAGCGATACGGGAGCCCATGTCCGATTTGCCCAAACCTGGGCTACAACATTCACAAGGGGACCTCCGCAGGGTTCGGAATGTCGAGCCGCAGACTCGTTGGAAGGACCCCAGGAGATCACCGCCCGGCCACCTTCTAGAACTGCGAGAATGTGATCTCGACCCATCCTCAAGGTGAGAAAAAGCATAGTCCAACCCAGCGCAAATCCTCCGCTCCTTTTAGGAAAACTTAGGCATCCCACTGAGCTGCTTCGAAGGGCACACCATCCTGTGCGTTGTCTGCTGTATCACACTCTTGCAACGATGCAGACCTAAATTGAGGCCCTGACAAGCTCTGCAATGTCAAGCCGTGAGAGCGGCACTTGCTCGTCACCTTGGCTTTCATCACCACTCTCACCGGAAAGTGCGTGGCCGACATACCAGCTGGGCAACACACTCAGCTCTTCTGACAAGCATTGGCCACGATTGCTGCCGCCCCCCCAAAGGCCTTGACAAAGCCACGCTTGTTTCCGGTACGCATGCCATATGGGATGGCGATTGGCGACCGGCTGCCGTCCGCATCAACCACCAAAGATCCTTCCCAGCCTGTCGCACAACACAGGTCCTGTCCAAAGCCGACGTGTACATGAGCTTCCTGATGTCCTGGCATACCCGTACCGCAAACCCACCTGCGGCAAGAGATCGAAGCGGCCGATGAAACGGCACGTGCCGTGGAGAGGGCACCACCCTGGCCTTTCGCACGGCTGCCAACAAAAAACCCAAAGCCTGCAGAATTCAGGGTTGTGTGCATAGGACACGGGTTCGACCACGAAGCATAGAGTTGGATCATGCGGACTCGGCCGCACTTTGCTGCCTGCTTTGCATCTACTTCATGCATGAGCTGTGAAGAACAGCACCACAAACCCCTGAAGCTGACCAAGACGGCCTGAACGGCAGCCAAAGCTGAACCCCAAATCCTGAACCTTCTAAGGCTTTAAGACTTTAAGACTTGAAGAACCAGCAGACTGCAATGCCTCCTCAGAGAAGCACTGGCGGTTGGCGTTTGCGCCCCATGCGAGAATGAAGCGCTGTTCCAGCCTGTCCCGTCTACTACTGCTGCTGCTACCGTTTTGTCTTTTTGTGATTGTTTTCACTGCTGCTGCGCTGCTGTTGCTGCTGCTG